GGCGAATGTCACTCCATGAATCACTTCGTACTATCATCCAAGATCCTCCTTTCGTGGTTCCGAACCATATGGAGTTGGTAATCTCATGGATTATGAATGGGGTGTAACCTTCAAGGGTCAATCGTTGTCCCTTTATCGTGGTTGCCTTTTATGATCCGTGAACGGTTTACAAGTTCCTTAAAACTTGTTGGCGGCTCCCTACTTTCCTTGTCCCTAATCGTATTATATCAATCACACTTCCTAAGAGTGCCAAGCATATTCACCACATGCTTTAACGTAGGCACACTTCGAGCGACGCCTACAGTTAGTAACTTCAATAAATATATAAATCAAATGAAAATTAAATTAAATTAAGGTAAATTTGATTTGTTCCAAACCCTCAGTTAATTCTACCTTTTACGCCTTGGTTTAAGGACGGAACCTCGGGTTAAGTATGAACTCGTTGGAGTGTTTAGGGCAAGTATTTTGAGATAATAGGGTGGCTAGTATTTCGGCTAAAGAGGGAGAAGAGAATTATTTTGTGATCAAGCTTGTTGATGATTGAAAAAGGGGTGATATGACCTCTATTTATAAAGAAAAAAGAGGGTTCGAAGAATTAAGATAAGATCCGAATTAAATCGGAATAAAACTCGATAGACTACAGTTTTTGCAGTTTTTGTTTTTTCATATCTTTTGATCCAAAAATCGGAATAAGATGAATAAGATATTTTTGGAAAGTCTTCTTTCTAACACAATTAGAATCAGATTAAAATAATTTATAGAATAAAAGATATGGCCGAAATAGTGAGACGGTGTCAGTTTTGGGTAGAGTTTGACATTTTATTCATATCTTTTCCGTTATATCTCGGAATTTATATTATAATATATCATTGGAAAGATAATTTCAAGGGCTATCCAACCATTTAAAATTTGGATAAAAACTATGAGGCACAAAAATAATATCTGTCTATATTTGAATGTCTTTCAATTCGAATAAAATTAGGACTTTTAAAAATAGGAGTTTTATTCAATTTCAAACTCTTTAATCTTATCTTTTCAAAAAGGATAATTAGGATCTTTTAGAAACTTATAAAAGTTTATAATTAATACTAATTGGTTTAGGAATTGGATTAAATCATTTGGACCCTCCACATGATCATTGGGTCATAGGTAAGATGGGCTTAGGTTTGGTTTGAGCTTAGTTTAGTATTTTGACCATAACTTATTCGTTATAACTCGGAGTTAGGCTTAAAATATATCGTTGCAAAGCTCTTTTAAAGCCCCATCCAAATATTCAATCATTGGACCCAGATTATGGAAAAAATAAACTGGATTAAACGTTTTTATAAAAAGGACATGAAATGAATGATTTTAAAAGACACGAAATGAATTTTTTTTGGTTTAAAGGCACGAAAAGAGGAAAATAAGTTATGGTTTGGGGAAATGGGCTAGAAGTTGGGTTGGGTTATGAAATGGAAATATGGATTTAAGCAGTCCAAGATTAAATACTCAACCCGACCATTAATGGCGGTGAAAGGTTGTTCATCATCGGGTTTGGTTTTGGGGAGACATTTTTAGGTGTCTACAGTAACCTTTATGAAATATACATCTGCCAATTTCTTCATGAGTTTAGGGGCAGCGACCTCACTAGGATTACTCAAAATGTCAGACTTCGCCATTCCATTAAACAGACTTAACGCATCCTCAAAGCACATCCAAAACCAACAATGCCAACATGTCATAGAAGTTGTGTCTGCAACCCAACAGATTGTAACCGAGAAGTAAGAAAAGCATAATGGCGAACATCACCTGCGGAATAAACACCTAGCCCTCCAAACGCAAATGGCAAGGTGGAAAGCCGCCATTGCCAATCGCCAAACCCAGGCCCCGAAGCAGTAACAATACGCTCGAAAGAAGATCTAAGAGCCCCATCGAAAGTGCACTGAGCCGCCTTAAAAGTATTAGGAGGACAAGTACGCAATGCAATGTAGAGTTTAGAAACTCCGGTACATGCCCTAAGTAACAACAACTCACATTGAGGATCATCCGGCATAGCAACCTGATCCATAAGGGCAATGGTCTTGGTCACCCTCTACATCACAAGCTCACCACTAAAACCAGAATCGAAACTAGTGGGACCACCAAGAAACTTAACACCACGCAACTTAACACCACGCAAAGGGCAAGCATTGTTCGGTGGAAAAACACCCACAAGCCTGCTTCGAGGGTCTTCTGTAGGCCAGAAAAATTTAGTTTTTTCCACGTTAAGATGTAACCCAAAACGAGGCCCTTCCTTCATAATCAACTGCAGAACCTTCCCCACCACCAACATGTCACCAATAATAGTCCCGTCATCCAAATACCAAGCCTGAAGACATACATCAAAAGTCTCTCTGATTTTACACACTAGGGGTTGTAAAACCAAAGCAAAAAGCAAAGGACCAAGGGGATCACCTTGATGCACCCCTTGAGATGACCATAAGGTTTGGTCCCCATAATATAATCTAGCTGGATTAGAATAGCAGAATTCAACCCATCTCGAAATTCCGGAACAACGGCTACATACTTCACTAACGTAACCGAACGATCAACTAGATTGAAGGCATTTTGAAAATCCACCAACAACATAGAAAAGACCAACATCAGAACCATGGTCTTCAATCAACCGATACACTACATGAAGAATTGCCTCACCACCTGAAGAAACCCTAACACCTAATTGAAGACCATCAAAGTAACTCACTAAAAACTGACCAACCATAACAACACCCACCTTCAAAACTAGACGCCGCCAAATCGTACCCACAACAATAAGACGAATACCACCACTGGAAGTGGTGTAAGAGGAGCACTAGCAATATACTCTTTTAATTCCATAGGACATCTTCCAACTAGAAAGACTACTACTACTACTAATACTACTACTACTACTACTACTACTACTAATATAAACATTAATTATTATTATTATTATTATTATTATTATTATTATTATTATTATTATTACTACTACTACTACTACTACTACTATTACTATTATTAATATTATCGCATTATTATTATAATCATTAAATTTTATTATAAAATATTAATTATTATAATTATTATATTAATAATCATAAAAATAATTATTATTATTATTAAATATAATTTAATTATTATTTTTATTATTATTAAAAATTAATAAATATTATTATTATCATTCAAAATTAATAATTAGTATTATCTTTAAATATTAGTTATTATCTTTAAATATTAATTTTTATTAAAAAAATCAATTATTATTATCATTATTATAATTAATATTAATAATTATAAGTATTATAATTAATTTTATTATCATTATTATAATTACTATTATTATTATAATTAAATATTAATTATTATTATTATTAATATGATAATTATAATTATTAATATTAAATATTATTAAATATTAATTATTAATTATTAATTATTAAATATTAAATATTAATTTTTAATAATATTATTATTAAATATTAATTTTTAATAATATTTTTATTATTAAATATTAATTATTATTATTATTAAATATTAATTATTATTATTTAATATTAATTATTTGTTATTATTATTAAATATTAATTATTATTATAATAACTTAATATTAAGTATTATTTTTAAGCGGAGTAGGGTAGAGCAGAGTATGTAGATTGAAGCAGAGCAGAGCTGAGCAGCTCTAAAGAACGGGGCCTTAGTCTCTCATTTTAGAAAGAAAAAAAAAGTAGTCAAATACATGGTTTCCATTTCCAATCCACTATACTTTTCCTTTATTATTGTAATTGTAGTAACTTTTTTTATTTTTTTTATTGGAATAGGGAAAGGTGATTTCATTAAACAATAATAGATATTTGACACTTACAATCATCTCTTAAGAGATATAAAGTCTCAATAATAGCATCACTTCTGAACTACCCCTGAATAATATTAGATGTTATTGCATTGTTGTTGATGAAGCTCCATTGATGTATAGTTGCAAAAGTGATAAAACTTGATTGGTCATCAGGATCGACTAATTTGCATGACGAACTAATCTTCTAAATCTCCATCCCTAAATCAATAATTCCACAATTTCACAATTTTGCAAGACTAATGTTTCAAATTTGTATCTCTGCACACAAAAAAAACAAACAATAATACTAAAAATCTCACAATTAGGGAACCGACTAAACCCTACATAGAGAAACTAACTATAATACTACTCCCTCCGTCCCCGAAAGAACGACTCATTTAACCTAATTTTAGTCCCATAAAGAATGACCAATTAGCATTAAAATACCCATCAATTTACAACAATATTTGTGCGAAATTAGCTTCCCCATATTAAATTTTATTTTTCCATATACTTTTAATACTATCACTCTCTACTTTTTTATAAACCCCATATAAATTTATCTTTCTAATATACCTTTACTTCTTTTTATTTAACTTTATTAATAACCGCGAAATCAACCCAAAAAGGCCGTTCTTTCGGAGACGGAGAGAGTATATCATTAGGGATCAATATTGGCTAAAAATATTAAATCGAAGAACATTTTAATTTGGGACTTATCATCAATAAAATTGATGACAACATCCTTGAAGTTTAGTTTTACTATGGTGTGACTAGGATTTAAGATAGAGAACAGAGAATTTTTTAGGATATCAAAGTTTTTATATTTTATTAGAAAAAAAAAATAGGACATTTATTAGAGATTAATGTTATTGGAGAACAATAAATATCCTATTGTTATTAGAGGAACATTTGTATCCTAAAAAAGTCATACCTTAGTTCCTAATCTAGAACATTTGTGTCCTCAAATAATTTATGTCCTCTTGTCACCAAGCTACTGAAGCAAAGTAATAAGAATAACAATAATTGTACAATTTTTCTCTAATACAATCATTTAAGTCCTATTAATTCAGGACCACGGAGAATAAATTTGATACCTACAAAAACCCTATAAAAAGGCATATAATTTTAATAACATCAAATTATACACGTCAGTAGCATAGGTGAACTCAAAAGGTGTATGAAACACTTAGTGTGGTATTTTACTTTTACCTTTTCATCACCATCAACATTATTTGTATATGTCAATGCCTAGAAGTGGAACAGATTCACTTGTTCTAGGAGAAGTAATTGGAGATGTTTTAGATCCCTTTATTAAATTTGCAACTCTTAGAGTTTTTTACGAAAGTAGAGAAGTTATCAATGCTTGTGAGCTTAGACCTTCTCAAACTATCAACCTACCAAGAGTTGAAATTCAGGGTAACGATCCTACGGCAACTTATTACTATACATTGGTAATTACCTTCGAATTATTATTTCTTTCTTTACCAGTGTTAATTACAAAATGTGATCGTTTTATTATGTGGCGCAGTCCATAATATTTGCAATTTTCTTATCTTAAAAATATGAAGGTTATGGTAGATCCCGATGCTCCAAGTCCTGGAAATCCGACCGAAAGAGAATACTTGCATTGGTAAGATATTAGGAATTCTTTTGGTTTGATTATTGTTGTATCGATCATACACCTAAAAGTATCCTGGACAGTAATTACGATAGTGGTGCGGCCTTATGGTCACAAGCTAAGGCCGCTAGTTAAATATGTTTGTTCATGTATAATGTACAATATAAGATTAAAATTGGACATAATTAATCCTGTAAAAAATAAAGTAAAATTGGAATAATTAATGATTGAAAGTTGGGATCAAATATTAAAATTGCTTTTTGGTTAATCATTATTCAGGTTGGTGACTAACATCCCGGCGACTGGAAGCATCAGTTATGGTAAGTGATAAATTGAAAAATTAGTAAACGATGAAGCCCAATATAGGGCATATTTGACTGAATGCAATTAAGTTTAGTTTTTATATTATTTTTTTATTAATTTTTTATAAGGCCTGTACATAGAGAAATAGAAGATTGTGTATGACACCTGAATAAAATAAAAAATAAAGATTTTGTAAATAGTAATAATAATAATCCGTTAAAAAAACAATAATAATAATAATAATAATAATAATAATAATAATAATAATAATAATAATAATAATATATTACTCCGTATTATGTAAATAAAGTAGGCATTTTTTTAGAGCCAACCCACCACATACACAAAGGTATTATTTCCAAGAATTAAAATTAGAACTTTACTTTATTTAAGAATATAAAAATTCATTCGTCACCTAAACAAAAGTGATGAATGAGAATTAAGAACTTTTACGCGTAGGTAAAAACAATGAACAATGATTTATTTGGATTTAAATTATTTAAAAAACTAAATATTATATATTTTTTTAAAGAACTAAAAATTATCTCTAGATAATAGGATTTAAAATACTTCAAAAACTACTGTATAAATTATACTCGTGCGATGCACGATTTTTTTTGAATTTTTCAAATAAAATGAATTATTAACTTTTTACTCATATTTAGATTAAATTCGTAATATAAATAGATAATATTTTATTTTACAAAGTTTTGTATGTAGCTGGTCACACCATGTGGTAAGGATTACTTGATCAAGATTAACATGGTTAATCAAAGGTTACTCAATCGATCAGGGGTTATTTGGTCAGTGTTTGGGTGTGTCTCATCCGACCACGATATGACCAACCACAAAAAAAAAAAAAAAAAAAAAAAAAAAAAAAAAAAAACACATTGATTTTATTTTTTTTAATAATATAAGATATTTTATCTAAAATAAATTATAATTTTTATTTTCATTAGCTAAAATATGATATTTTCCTATGTGACGCTCTAAATCTTACATGGCATAATTATATTGTAGTGTTTTAAAATTATTAATCCTATGTGGCTCTCTTTTATTATAATCGTACGTATCACTTTAAAAAAAAAACTAATTTTACGTGGCATAATCTGATTGTAGCGTTTTATAAATAATAATCCTAACTGGCGCTTTAATAATTTTTTTAAAAAATAAAATCCTAGGCGGCGCTCTAAAAACTCGGGAAATAACTCCCCTAATATATATTAAAATCTAATATTTAAAATCTAATATATATATATATATATATATATATATATATATATATATAAGATTTTAATATTAGGATTTAAATTATAAAACTTATAATGCAAGAAAAAGCTTTGCTTCTTTCAACATTTATGTGAAATTTATATCAAAGAATTTTAATTGAAAAAACAAAATTGATAGATATTAAAAGATCACAAAAACTATACAAATAGACATATGGATTTGAGAGTTTAATTTCAAGTATGTAAAATCATTGCATAATGATTGAGGATTAAAATTGTTAAAAAAATTATCCTAATTTATTCATAATTAATAAATTCAATTTTCATATAACTAAAAACAACAAATAAAATACAAAAAAAAATAATTAAATTCGTATTTTAAATTATATGAAATAAAATTGAATATTTCCCTCAAAAAAAAATTGAATATTGGAATAAGCAATAGCAGTTCAATTAAATTATTATATTTTTTTCCCCTCAAAAAAAAATTATTATTTTTTTATATGAAATTATCAAATAGTAAGATCAATCAAATAATTATTACAAAAATTAATCAAATAACTAAAAAAAACTTAGAATATATCTATCTAAGAAAAATAGTTTTTCTTAAGATTTATGTTTGAAAGAAAATTTAAATCGTGCATCACACGAGCTTTCATTTAGTAATAATAATATAATAAAATAGGAATTTTTTAGAAGCATAATTTAGAGTGCCACATAAAAAAATATCTTATTTCAACCAATGAAAAAAGAAATTCATAATTTTTTTTTGAATTACAAAATAAATCAATCGTCACTTAGGTAAAATAAACAGCGAATAGTGATTTAATATTTAGATTTCTTCAAAAAAACAAAATATTATCATTTGATATTTAGGATTTTATCTAAATATTCGATTAATGAAAAATATTTTTTACATTTTATTTAATTTTAATTTTAGAGTTATTATTCTAGCAATGAAAAAAGAGTCATTTGATACGGAGTAATATCAACTAATAAAAAATAAAATTATATCTTTTTTAATAGCAAAAAATATTAATTATTATTTGACCAATGAAAGAGGAGTTATTTTTTGTTTTAGACTATAAATACAATCACCACGTGAGGAAAATTCACAAATGTGATTTGAGAGCTCAAATTGAACTGCCACGCACTCTAAAAAGATGAAAATTTTCAGAAAAATAAAAAATGTTTTTAAAATTCAATTAACGTGGCACTAATAACTATATAATAACAACAAATCAAATCGCATCATTAATTACCTAAAAAAATTATTATTTTTTTAGAGATTCAATTAATTTTCAAAAAAAAAAAAATAAAAAAATCTTGCAGCGCACATACTTATGTATAATTATAATCCTCAATTATTTATATTTAATGTCTAAGGGTAACGTACCATGGAAGTTTGAAGTTTACAAATCCTCCATATTTTCTAAATAGTTTTTATATATGTGTTTATGTAGGTTCCTTACTAATAAGCAACAATATATAGTTCAATTTATAAAATTTAAAATATTCATTTGATATATAATAAAGAAAGAGACAGAGGAAATAAAATTTTTATTTTTTATTTCTTTGTCAAATCAACCATAATTTCTTAGTTTGAACTATTTTAGAGTGTTTATGCATAATGGACCCTCAATCATTCACATCCTATAGGGACGAGGTGAATTAAGGTGTTATTCGGCTTATTTTCATTAGACTTTATGTTATATGAAGTAATTTTTTAAAATTTGTAAGTATAAACTTATAAATCTAAAAATTATTTGAAATTTAAGAAAACTTCAAATTTTTAACTTACTTTTTTTGCAATAAGTTATTAAAAACAATAAGGTCTAAGGAATTTATCAAACAATTGTGAGGAGAATACACATCCTACAGAATTCTCACTTAAATTGCATTGCCTTTGATTTGGTTTTTTTATGTACTATTTACCTTAAGAATTACTCACCAAATTTGATGTGTCTTTGCGTTTTCTAGCCTTGTTTTGTGTTTCCGTATGTATTAAGGTATGATCTCCAATGAATCAATCAACTAGGTCATGGGATTGTTCGAGCTGAGTAATCCCGACCTTTTATAACCCCCATAATTTTATATTAGGGTGACCTAGCTACCTTAAACAGACTACGTACGGAGTTATATAAAAAAAAAAAAATCCAATAGATGAAATACGAATAAATAAAAGAAAAAACAACATTCATATAGGTATTAAGAATCAAGTTTTTATTAGCCTTGTTTAAAGTCCTAATCAATACCATTCTATAAAACAAAGGGAATAGATTAGTGTGTAAAATAGTTACATTGATCATATGGATTCGCACATATTAACGATACAAATTCTTGTAACTGAGAATGAGGGGTCGCTCAAGTTGTTAGAGTTTCCCTTTTAATTTCAAGAGATGTTGGGATTGATTCTTATCACATGACTTTGTCTCTGTCTCTAAACACAAGCCAAAAATAAATAAAAAAAATAAGTAAATTCTTGTAATTCCTCTTCCCCATAGTATTATAAATATGCATTTTGTTAATTGTAAATTATATCCATGTAGGGGAAGAAATTGTTTCTTATGAAAGCCCAAGACCTTCATTGGGAATACATAGATTTGTATTTGTGGTATTTCGTCATTATGAAACAAAAACAATCAGTCATCCTGGGTGGCGTCAAAACTTCTTCTCCAGAGAATTTGCTCAACGTTACAATCTTGGTATGCCGGTCTCGGCCATGTATTTCACATGTCAAAGAGAGAGGAATTATAGAGGTAGAAGACGTTGAATCGTTTACTTTCTACTCTAAGTAAACGAAAGAACAGGTAGCATACAATATGCATCCATTCTACGTAGTTGGGAATACTTGAAATTAGCTCTTTTAAAAGACCATACTTTGGTCCTTAATGTAGCGAACTAGCTATATGTATGAATAATTATTGCTTTTCGTTTTTGTTACAAGCGTGAGCGAATGTTGAAGAATAGAGGATGTTTTACCAAAACAGCTAGTTTGACAAAAGTATTTACCAAAACGGTTAATTATAAATTTTAATTCCCAAAAGTATTAACTTGAAAAGAATTTATCTATTTCTTATTTCCTTTGAACCGGTTTGTTTTGTTCACTTTTTTTTTTTTTTTAACTTTGTTTTTTTGGTTTTATTTTTATTTACTTAAAGATTTTTTTAAGTTGGAAAATTTAAGCAATATACAAAACTGCTTTGAACATAAACAGTTGCATACTTGCAGAACCCTAAAAAAAAAAAGAGGTGAACCAAACAAACCGGTTCAAAGGAAATAAGAGATTACCACAAATTTATAGGACGATAAGAGGTTTTAAGGTATTGTTCATCTTTTTCATGTCTATTAATTATATACTCTTTGTTAATGTCAGTTAGTATGATTTTTTTTTTTTTTTTGTTTGATGTGTATGATAAATTAAACATACATATATTCATTTCTATCTTTATGTGTTAAAAAAATAGTTGTATTTTTTTTCTTTTGTTGATTGGAAGTTTGGATAATTTTTTTGAGTAGTTGTTTATTTTGTGTAACTTTTTGAAAAAAAATTGAGAATTGCTGCATATATATTATGTTGATTTTTATTGTTCAAATTAATGGGACATTTTAAACTATGCCATTAGAATTTAAATAAAACAAAAATTAAGAAAAAAAAATATTTCTTTTTAAATAAAATAAAAAAAACATAAAGTGAACTGAACGGATTCAATATAAAAAATAAATAATATCCTTTCAAATAAAAAATTTAGATAGTTTGGGAATTAAATTTTATAATTAGCCGTTTTAGTAAATACTTTTGTCAAATTAGCCATTTTGGTAAAAACATCCAAGAATAGACCTCTCAAGAATTACCACATGTAAGTGTTCCTCATTGGTTAAAAAAGAGAGAGTTAATCACTTTATGAGGTTAAGAGGCTATTGCTTCTATGCATGATAAACCTTATTTTGACTTGTGAAGTGGAGTTTCTCTTTTAGTTTGCCAATTTAAGCTATTTAGTGATGTTTCCACTTGGACCACACCCGCAAACCAAGAGAGATTCCACTTTACAAGTCCAAAGGAGACCCCATTCCAAAATCATATGGAAATAGAAGGATTAGCCCATTAGCCTTATTAAGGTGATTAGCTCTCTCTTCTTCAACCAATTTGGGATACTTACTTACAAATGGTAATATTTGGGAGGTCTATTCTTCAACAACTCTCTTTTAATTAATTATGGGAAATTATCAATGGTACACCCAAGGTTCGGGCTTTTATCAATGGTACACCAACTTAATTTTTGTTTATCAGCGGTACACCCAAGGTTTCACACGATTATCAACTATACACTTAACGTTAAACAAACTTTATATAAAGGTTAAGTTGGGGTTTAATTCGATTTTTTTAACTTAAAATATTCCCTCCCTTTTTTTCCCCTCTTCATTTTCCCTCCTTTATGTACTCTACCCTACCCACCCCCTCTTCCTCTATATATAGTTTCCCTCCTTTTTGATTTTCCCTTTTCACACACAAACATACATATATCTACTCAAACACACCCAATTTGAATTATTTGTGCAAAAAATACAACAATAAAGCAATAAATAATAATCATAGGCACATTGTGCATAATTTAAACCATAATTCGCTAACAATTGTACATGGAAACCAAAATTCAACTATTTAAATAAAAAGTTCATATAGTACCGAAAATAAGCGAAAGTCAGAAAATCAAAGACTCAGATGAAAACTTACCTTAAGCGATCAACAATGAAGTGCAGAATTTGCTAGAATTTTGTTCAATTCGCCCGTCGATTATGGAACCTCATAGCAGCAGGAAAAGGGAAGAGAGTGAGAAGGAAGGAGAAGATGAACGATCTTTTGACTTAGGAGTTTTTAATATAGGTAGTTGAGGTTTGAAAGGAGAGATTTAATGTATTTGGAGTATGGGGGCAAATTAGTCATTTCATTTTAAGTGGATTAACCTAAAATTAACCTTTAATTAACGTTTGATTAACGTTATAGTTACTGTTGATGAGTGTAGTTAACCTTGGGTGTACCGCTGATAAAAAAAAACTAAGTTGGTGTACCATTGATAAAAGCCCGAACCTTGGGTGTACCATTGATAATTTTTCATTAATTATTAATACTTACTAATAATAAGAAACTTCTTTTTTTCCAAAAAAAAAAAATTAAAATTTTAAGAAATATATATTGAAACAAAGTCAATTAAGTCGCGCATGACTATAATTTTTCTTAGTGTGGTAAAATAATCCAATAATACGCAAACATCAAATGGAAATATATCAAAATGCTAGTAGTATTACATACATTTGACACTTGTGTTCTTTTTCTACCCACAACAATACACATAAAATAGGGCTTTCTTTTACATGAACCGGATTGCATCGAACTAAATTCACATGTTTATATAACAAGGTAGCCAGGTATGGTTCATATGAATATACTCCGTAACTAACTAACCAAATAAAATGAAATTAGTATGCAGGTTATGCACATTAGTTCCATGATCCATAGTGATAAGCATTTACTCCATGTGTCCAGGACTCATTAATTAAACGGTAGTCTTGAGTATGGGAAGAATCGGAGAATTTGTGGAAATTAGCTGCAAATTGAACATCGTCATAATTTGAACATTTGGGTACTCTTGAGCTTGCAGCTATGTCGATTATATTGTTCAAAATGTTATTAAAGGTTTTGTCCACGGCCTCATGGTACCTACTACCTACTATAATTTTATTTATTTATTTATTTATTTATTTATGTTTTTAAGGGAGCAATAAGGGTAGGGGGTGAGAATCGATCCCATGATCATCTGCAACTGGGAGGGAACTCTAACCACTTGAGTTATCCCTCACTCTCACATTTTATTTTATTTAATTGAATTACACTAATTCAATATCTTCGAACTTTGAAATTCAAAATTATCAAAGCGGTGGCGGTGGCTTTAGGTGGGTGGTGGGATGGTTTGCTAAAGAAGGGAGGTTCAGCCGAATTTGTTAGGGTTAGAGTTGTAGATTTGGGTGGTAGATTTGGATTGGTCAATCGAGTTGTTTAGGGTTAGGGGGTGGATCTGGTTCGATTAGGTGGGTGGTAGGGTAGTTCGGTTAGGGTGAGTGGTGGTGTGGTTTGGGTTAGTGTGGTTGGTGGGGACTTGATTTGTGTGTGGTTTGTTTTAAGGTGGTTGTGGTGGGGTTCTAGCTAGTGGTGATTTTAGTGGTAGGTCGTGGGTGGTGGTATGTGTTTGGGGGGGCTGGTAAGGCTGGTGTGGGGATGGTAGGGCTGGGATAGAGGCTGGTGGTTTGGGTTGCAGCGGGCTGGGGTGCGAGCTGGTGGTGGTGAGGTGACGGCTAGTAGTTGTGTGGGGTGGTGAGAGGCATTTTTTTCCATTATTTTTCTGACGAAATTTTCGTCAAAAATTTCCGGCCGAATTGTGTCCGTCGAAAATTTCCCGACGGACTTTTTTTGTGCTTAAATTATCTTTCGACGACTGAATTCTCTCGGAAATTTCGTCGAAAAAGGTCATTTTTCCTACAAATAGTTTTCCAAAAACCGATTCAATCGGAAAATAGGGTGTTTCCAACAAAATTTTTGCGTCGAAAATGGCCTATTTTCTTGTAGTGCAAACCGAAGAACCTGTTGGGGAACAACAGTCAGTGGCCTACGCAGGCACCTCGTAGAAAATTCCTGCTGGCCACAAGGAGGTGCGGAGCTCACAACCTAGCTACAGGCTACATGCAAATGCCGAGCTTCAAGTTGCTTTTAATCAGCATTCTGATGAGTCTCAAGGCACAAAAATGGGTTGTGGCATCAGAGAAAAATACAAGTTGATAAAGGAATAAATGCATCGTCAATTGTCTATCCCTAGATCAAACACAATTTATACAACCTAAACAAACCTAATACGAGTATAAGGAAAGTCAAGGGTCGAACCCAAAGGAGTGAGTCGGTACTAACTATAGCCTAAGTCAAGCTACTTTGAAGATTGTACTGAGAAAATGGTTGGTACTATGGTAACAAAGCTAGATTGATCAAGTAATTCAAGAAGCTAAACAGTAGGGATATAGGTTCCACATGCAAGTTTAATAATCATGCTAATTGATAGTTCATTCAATTGATTCAAGCATTGCAAAGGACAAACAATAGTAGCAATCAAAAGAATCCAAAAGCTATCTCCTATATGCCAAGCTAGGGGTCACTATGAATGGCTAATCAAGGAAAATCACAATCAAACTCAATCAATTAAAGCAATTCTCAAATTGATGGTTCATGTCATTAAGAATTGCAATGCAATCTAGATTAATCTTATAGGTTAATCACTCCTAATCTAATTAATCACATGCAAAACTATGTCAACCAATGTTGACCTTACATGTTTTGATGATGACTCAAGGAACCTAAGCGAACCTATAACAAGTTTAACTTTCGGTTTTAGCTTTGATTTATGACAGGTTTGTGCTAGGAAATTCTTGAGTGAGAAGGGAGCATGGAACAAGATCAGAGCTAGCTATGGAAGAGTAAAGAAATCAATCAAGTCGTGTTCCTTGAAGGGAACTGAAGCTCAAGAGTTTAAGCTTCAAAGGAAAGTTCCTTTAATGAGGAACTGCAGCTTCAGAGTCGAAGCTTCTCAGAGTATCAAGGAGTCTAATGTATTTTATCTTTACTTTAGGCAACTTGTATTTATGTTAAGTACATTATAATTGATAGGATTTAAGTGGATTTAATTTTAATTTGATAAAGATTTTATTTTCCATATTTTAACTTGTTTTAATTTTATTTCGAAAAATATCTTTTTAGTTAAAATATCTTGTTAGTTAAAAAGATTTTCTTTTTTTAATTATATCATATTATTTTGGAAAATCTAATTTGGAAAATATTCTTTATAAACGGCTGTTTTACTTGGTCAAGGAAGTTGAGAGAAAATAGGAAGCAGTAAACCACTTCCTCGTCATGTGCTCAGCTTGCTGCCCAAGCATCCACGAATTGCACTTCCTTAGTTTAAGGAAGTTGTGATTAAGGCAACTACGATTTAACTGCCAAACTATTTTATAAATAGCCTTGGTTTTTAGTTGGAAAAACACACTTGAGCATTACAGTCTTTTAGCTTTTGAAAAAGAGTCATAATCCACTTAAGTCCTTGAGTGTCTTTGTACTTAGAAATTTTAAGTTTAATCTTTGAGTTGTATTGGGTTAGAGTTTGGGGAAACTCTAAGAGTGTTTTATTTCTTTGAGTGACGCAAGGAGAAAGAGAGAGAGTTTGAGAGTTCGACTGATTGAGGGATCAGTTGAAGGGAGCTTAAGTTTATAGAGAAACTTGAGTTTAGAGTCTTAATTTGTAATAGGTTGTTTGCCCTATTATTATTAAATATTGAGTTTAAAATCCCTTGTGGTCGTGGTTTTTCTTCTTGATTAGGGCCAAGAAGTGTTCCACGTAAAATCTCTCTTTGCACATTTAGTTTTTATTTGAGTTCCTTTATAAATTCCGCGAAAATTACCCTAGTTCCTCTACAATACAATTCACCCCCCTCTTGTATTGTTCATTCGAGTCAACAATTGGTATCAGAGCCTGTTCCTCGAAGAAATCAGGAAACCATGACGAGTTAAGTTCCTGGAAGCAACATGAACAATCACGA